CAGAACAGATCCTTCACAAGTCACTTGCTGACACATCATGCAGTTGAAAGAACGCACAAGTTTTCAAAACCCAACCAACGGTATGAAAGCATCAGCAGCATTTAAGCCTGATATACGGAGCAAATTCATGTAACTGCAGGAATCTGAAGACGCCAAACTAATGCAAATTACTCTGCTGCACAGTAGCACTGATACAGCAATATTCAGACTTGCAAGTATAATACTTTCAAACGTCTAAATAACTCGACAGAAAGCGGTGACGTAAAAAACAAAATCTACGTCAATTTTAGATGCAGATCGCTAGCTTGATTCCTTCAATGCCTGCAGGAGGAAGGAAGCTTTGAACTGGACTCAAACTGGAAAAGGAACTCAAACCCAAGGTGTAATTCCTCAAGCATTCTTAAGAATGTCAGTCCTAAAATATCCATTTTTAAACCTTTTTAACTTTCACTATCAGTCAAAGTAAGTTTACACACAACACAAACAAAACACACACTAGTTAATGCAACTTTGCTATTGCCCATAGCTGGAGACATTAACGGGACGTATATCTAGCGATCGACTTCATCTAACAAATTAGACATTCTTGTATAGACCGACTGGATATAATACAGAACACCAGAAATGCTCTCTATGTCCAAGATGCCTGACGTCTGTCTCCCTTCATCAATGGAACCAAAACATCCCCCCCCCCCCACCAGGTAATCAGACATGTTTTAATGTGTATCATGGGGAGCGACAAGAAAGACAAGGTTTACGTAGACCACAAATTATACCTTTGAAACTATACCTTCAAAGACCCATGGGGTATGTGTGGCTCCATGCTTTACACACTTCAAGTGATGCAGGAACACCACCCTCAAGAGCATTCGGGGGCTTGAACTGAAGCTTCTGTATAGTTATGCACCGCAAAGATGAACCGCGAAAGCAAAGGTGGTTCCATATAATAATGGAGCTGAAAGCCATTACAACGTCACAGCACAACATATTACTCACACCTGTGCGATGGTCGTGTAAAAGTATAGTACACACAATTATGCACAGTACATACTTGATAACTGTTACTGGTTTATGTATTTACTATTCTGTACTTTATTTCAGAGTGTACTCTTCATACTTAAAGTTCACTGTAAAACAGTATACTGTGTTATGGATAGTGTGTAAGTATACTCTATGATGTTCGAACAACAACAAAATGGCCTAAATGCATTTCTCAGAACGTATTTCCATGGTTAAGTACATCCACCACTATTTCAATATTACCATTCACGATTATTATAAATAAATTATAAAAAATACCATATTCTCTGTACTTTGGTGGGGAGTATGTTTTCTTCAGACTCGCTGAATTCAGTAGAACCAAATTTTTAATATTCACAGAATCGTTCCTCCACCAATTGGACATGCATCCACTGGAAGCAACTGCAGCATGAGACTTATCGTGCAATGTAGGCTGTTTTCCAGCTAGATGGTTTAATAAGCCCAAGGTTAGAAAAAGTAAAACCGGTTTCGATTTTTTTTTTTTTTTATAATAATAATAATAATAATAATAGTAATAATAATAATAATAATAATAATAAATAGATCTATGCTATGCTTATTGTTTACACATAAGACATTTCTTACTAGTCCTTCTAAATAACGGCTGATAGCCAGGGGCTCATGCTGAGATTAATTTATTAAATGATGTTCTCTCGACTATGTTAATAAGAAGGCCACCCACATTTTGTGATGTGTTCAGCTTGACGTGGGTCGACCTTTCCCCCCCCCAAAATAAGCAGTTCTTATGTCAGACACTGATAGTTCTGCTGTTTGTGTGACTGGAAGGATGCAGTCTCTTCAAATGAATGGTTGCTGTGTTGCCTGAAAAGGGAACGCTTCTGAAATTGCATGGAAATAGCTTTCTCCTGGTTCCCAGACTTATCAGAATTCTGCCACACTTCAGAAGGCATTTTATATACCCAGTATGCCACCCAAGCTCACAAAGAAGGCGTATCTATTACGCTAAGCCGAACTTTTCACATAATGGGTTGCTGCATTGACTGCTTATGGCTACTACTTATCGAAAACGATATTTAACTTAATGAACTTATCGATTTCACATGTGAAAAATCGATAACAGGTCCCAGCCCAATCTAACTATGATCTTAAGCTGTTTTTCCTGCCCAGACAAGCTCACCAAACACCCTATCAAGCAAACCTGCCTCAAGTGTGTTTAAGTGAAGTTAATCTGAACATTTTGTAAATACACCATTGGTTTGAGATTAATCAGAATTCCTTTCGTGCTATGAGATGGTTAAAAGGAAGTACACATTGTGCATGTACATACTAACAGTCTGTTACCTCTGGCAGCATATAGTCCATATCCTTTCTGCCTGTGAGTCTAACCCGCTTCTTAGCTACCTGGCTATTTCAACCGCATGCTGCAGTGTTCAAAGTTATAAGCAAAATACAGCTATACCTAAAAATAACAGCATGCACAAGTAGACGACTTATCAGACTAAGTCGAAAGACACAGAACTGCCCATTGTGGGAACATTTCACGAGACAGCCAAATTCTCAGGCAATCAGGAAAATGTCCCACAAAAATTAAATACCCCAATCTGACAACAGTAATACCAAACAGCCTCAAAACAGAACACCCATTAATAACTGCATCAGGCAAAGAGAAGGTGTCAGATATATGGCCTTAATAATTGTAATGCTATTTTATGATGACAAATGCAAATTACTCTGTTGATAGACGTGTACTTGCAACATGTAAACAGCATTACATGAATTAATTTATTACACTAGCCGCACACCTTAATTATTAACCAATGACAGCAAAATAACAAATCCTGCACAATAACATACTGCATGACGAGTAGATTCTTCAAAATATGAGTTTAACTCGTCTATTGAGCATGAGAAAGGGTCAGATGTGAAGTTCCATTGTAATTCATGGTACGTCTATACACGTCAACCGCTGAATATGAAGTGAAGGTGTGTTTGAAAGAACCCTAGTATGCAAGACAATCTCTGCATTTATTAAATCTCTGGAATTATTAAAATTGTACTAATATTTGATTAAAATACAACAGAAACTGTACAAAACCCTAGAATGCAGCAGGAGTTTAGCGCGTAAACATTATGCCTATAGCTAATAACTAAAAGCCTCATTTTGGCCAAATCAAAACTAAATCATTAATTTTGCCAAATTCCAATATTGGCACATACATTTTATGAACCAAGGCATAAAATTCTGACTAACACAATTTATTCTGTCTACAAGCAATGATCCATTTCACAGCTCAAACATCTAGTGGTTGCCTCACAATTGTTAGTAGACACTGAATTAAGCAGTCTTCATTTAGGCAAACATAAGGTCCCCAGTACGACGCTTTCCCCACATACTGACACTGAGTATGGCGAATGAAGACCCCTGGGGTCGGACACCACCCCCTGCATTCCTCTCTCCTCTCAGTTAAGTGCTTAACCAGATGGCCACCTAACAACACAACGCTGCCTTGTACAGACCACAGCATCTGTTTATGAGTTTGATACAAAGAGCACAGGTGACACCACCAGTCAGAACCACCATGCAGTACGATATACATAGTGCATTTCCGAAAAGGACAAAAAAAAAAACGTAAATACGTTCGGCAACACTGTTTAAGTAAAGCCCACAAACCAGATAAAAATGCTCCTAAACTCTATACTCAACAAATACATCACTGAACCACAAATTAATACCCTTAACAGTAAATTACAACCAGAAGACTTAACGCTAGTCAAACTTGGCCGAAAGGCAACATTTTTCAGCTGGAATTAAATATATACAATAAAACAATGTAACAGGTAAAAGACAATGTGTATAAGATAGAAAATTCACTGATTTCCTCCTGGCAGTAACACCAAGGAGAATGTTAGTATGAACACAGCATATAGGACAGCCTGATAGCATGCAGGGGCTGACGTCTTTAATCTAGATACAGATGCATTTAATCCCTTTTATGTACAGGCTCCAGACTAGCATATCATAATTTCGCCAAAAATCAGTGTGACAGTTTGTGAGGTTATAAGCACAGAACAACGGTACTGTAAATAAGCCCAATACTAAATTTACAAAAAGTAAACACACACAGCACATTTGAAAATCTAGGTGGAACTTCGAATCACTAAAAAAAAAACACAAAAAAAAACCTTGAGGTCACCTTTAAGGGCAAACTATGCAAATTAAAAATGCGGGTTGGCCAATGACTAAACCAGGATTATGACCAACATGTTATAGGTTCAAAGCCAGACTTGGGAGCTCGGTAAGCATTTACAACTTTTGAGGAAGGCGCTGGGGTTCTGAATTATCACACAAATACCATAAAGGTCAGAAAAACCCTAGCTGTGGCTAGATACCAGCCACTGAAAGGTCAGCTTGTATTCACTGCATTTATTTAAAGCGGGACGATGTCAGACTATCTTAAAGGATCTAGCCTACTCACAAAAATCCAGTGACAACAAAAAACTATGAGTGGTGATAAGGCATAAACATCTCGCCAGTCTGACTCATCTAACGAATACTGTCTGAGCAGAGATTTACCTTATTCCAGGGAGAAGTTAACCCTACAGTGTCAGAACTTTCTGGAGCATGACACTACATCAAAGCTCAAGCATTTATGCAACTTCTGCGAAGATGAATTCTGCAGAGCCTATTTTACAGCATCAGAGGGGTTGGGGGTGAACAAGCCATTGTTTTTTTTTTTTTGTCTGTTCAGACCGGCATACTGTATTAGAACAGAGATACAAACAGCACCTAAAAGCAGACGGCTGGTTTCACTAAAATCCATAAAGATGGCAACTGACTCAGCAGTGCCTCTGGCCCAGGCTGCAGTTGCCAAGCTTCGCTGATGACGTCCACCACATCTAAAGTCCCAAAGTAAAGTCAGGTGGACCGTGGGGGAGGTGTCACATACAGCCGTGCATAGCGAAGGTTACAGTCCGAAGCCCAGCCAGGACAAACTGACCTGCTTTGTCTCCTTTCTGTCTTTGGTGGCTGTAGCTTCCAATTCTCTGCAAAGACAAAATCACTGTTAAAACGAACTTAAGTTTAAATGGCCAGTGCTAAGGGCATTATTAATTATTATCTGGATAGTGAAAGGTGAACGGCAAGCAAATATTGACACCTTCAAAAGGAAAAAGAGGATTGTATATGCAAATATGCGAAATGACCATCATCTAAGCTGAATAACTTTCCCCAGTGTCATCACCGATGTCTTCCCTAATTGCGACTGAAATGCACGCGTTAATAAGCCGGAGCTTTGGAGTCATTCTCTTGTACTTGGTTATCTTAACTATTTACTTCATATGACTCGTAACTAGGCAATTATTAATCAGGTCTACAGGATGGCAGCTTGGAAAAGGCAAGACAGTTATTCTGTGTGACTGCTGGGTGCATTAAAACCATCGAGGATGAAAGGAATGAACACGACTAACCTACTAGTTTGCTGCGTTTACTAGTTGGTATTTTGATTGAGTTACAAACGATCGTAAAACACGAACAGCTACAGCTTCCGAGGAAACTTTAGAAGATCATTCCCACCGCTAAATGTAAACGACCCGAACCAGAACTCGGATTCGGGGCTCAAGCGGACCAGCACCCGGACGGCGGGGGATTAGTGACCAGCAGCCGGACCGAGCACCCCCATCCGCGTCCCGGTACCTTTCAAAGCAAACCGGTCGGCTGACTGCCAATCGACCGACCTAGGGGTAGGCTTAGAAAAACGAACCGATCGGCGGCTAGACCGGGAAGTCGACTGCATTGAACCGACTAAGCCGATACCGCACCGTCCGCCCATCGCAACCACCCTGACCTCCCGAACCGGGATCCGACTAGTTGCTTGTGCATCTCCTTATGCTGCTTATCGATAACCTGCGCTTTACTTTCGCCAACTAGCAATCACCGACAAAGCGGTGGGTCAGCAGCCTTTATAAAGGAGTTAAGGTCCTGTGCAGAGGTTCGGTTAAGGCTGCCTACACGCGACCTAACTTGGCTTTTCAAGCCCGAGAGACGCCGGACTCTTACCTCATGAATTTAAAGTGCAACCGAGCGAAAATGAAAGCGGGCGATAAGGCTGGCGGAGCTCATGGCGTCTGCGGCGTTTCCGAAGAGAAGCCGTGCAGCTGCGCATCCGCCATTTTCTTCGCACGCTAACCTCCCCTGTCTCCTCCCTCCGTCCCCCACGAAGGGCTTCGGCTGCTGCGATCGCTATCGCCTCGGTGAAGCTCGTGTTGACTCGGCTCTGCTCGGCCAGATTCGACTAAATTCGGCCAAGATCTACTACTAGGACCATTACCCACCAAAACGTAGCTGCCGCTAGAGGTTTGAAATAATCGAAAATTAAGATATGCTATCTCAACTCCCGATAAAAATAAAGTTAATCGTGTGTTTTGGTACCGCCGCCCGCTTTCCCACATCACACTATTTATCAATACAAATTTATGAAGCTTAACAGTTCACAGTTTCGTTTGATTTACTTCCGCAGTTTGTTGCACTTATAACTTAATTACAATCCTGAACTAAAGTCTCTGGCTAGGAATGATAATATGTTATATAATATATTTATAATTGTAAGGGGTGCTGTAATATCTAGTTTAACATGAATATCTTTGACATTGGCTGAAGGTAACCGAAATCATCTGAATTAAATGACAGAATTTCTCAAAATATCTATTCATCCATTCGCTTGTACATTGACCTCATGTTGTCTCCACAGCTTTATTTATGTAGGTTCTTTAACGATAATTGGTGAATATCTTGCTGTCATGTAGTAATGACAGTCGTAAGTCGTGGGGATATTTATAAACAATTATTGCCATTTAAACTATTAATTATTTTGTGTTATATATATTTCGCAGTACGTGTTTAACAGGGGATTAACTTTTGTTTTCCAAAGATAAAGCCGCATTTTATAAATTACTATTGAGAATCTTTGTTTCCATGAATTGATTCTGGCTGCTATTAAGTAAACAATATTGAAAGTTTATGCAGTAAGCAGTTTAATATTTTATTTCTAATTTTTGTAATATTTTCTCCATTTTACATATATTTTACCAAATCTGTTACACTGATATAATTTAATTGTGAATAAAAGAGCAGTCCGTCTGGACATTTGAATGTTTTGTCTTTTATTTACGGGTTAGATCTGAGTTCAGGTTAAAAACGAAAGAATTCCTGCCCCATGTAAATTTTCCTAAACACATGATGTTTGCGGCATCATCAAAGGTTACAATGACGAAATAAGCCTTTTCTTTGTTAAGATCTCCGGCTGCTCCACGCTTTCCTTTGCTAGCTGCCGAGGGCTGTGCTGGTGTTTACCCCGGGTGCTTTTAAAGACAGACTCCAGAAGCTGCACAGCGCACCCGTCTCCTCGGTGACAGAGTTTGCCTGTGGATCGCAGCCAATGTAGACAGGCCGGTTTAAACAGACTCAAAAATGTAGGTGTGGAAGCTTCCCGATTACCACCTTTCCAGCACAGTTTGAACAGACACAGATGCTCCTTTTTAAACAGATAGAGACGTTGTAATAAATCTCTGCTTCGTGAGGGCACGGGAAGGATTAAAATGTGATATAGCGTTTTTCAGAAAACACCAACACCAATTTAATTGCTATGAATATGAACAGAGGACAGACATTTGAGTCGATTGAGTCTCTTTATCCTGTCATTCCATAAAAAGGTGAACGTGATGGGGTCGTGAAGTGCAGCTAAATAAAAAAGTGAACCTTTGCAGTCCCATTCCATCACTTCCAAACTGTGACTATGTAAGAGAAGGTGAAACATGGTAAAATCAGCCTTCAACAGGAACTGGTCGGGATACTTAAACTGGCAGGAATGTGTGTTGCGGTCTGGCTTGATCAAACGGCAACATGGGCGTGTAAATAACTGAGGCCTGTTAACTCTTTGATCCTGGTAAAGGAAACACTACTGTCGCGGTAGGCAGTAACCCCCAGCCCCACCCCCACCAAACAACAGCCCCAGACCCCAGGATCTCTCTGATTACCTGTTCCTAACTTCCACTATTTATTATCTGAGTGGTGCCTTCATTCTGTGAAGTAGCGATATCTTCTGCTCAACTTTCACCTGATTATGCGTAACAGAAACCATATGCCATGCGATGAGAAACGGGGCGACCTGCCCCGATCCAATCCGGCGTGCAGAGCTTCCACCCTCGGCGCGGTATTTAGGGTCCCTCTGTGAGAAAGGGGGCTTGTGGAGTCATTCCTATTTATAGCAGGAAGCGTACGAGGCGAAGATGTTCTGGAATGCCAACCGGCTTTGGCGTCCAAACGACAATACTTGTCCCCTGCTGCAGTTGTATGTTTGTATGAGGAACTTCCTGCTATGAGCCCGGATTCTTGGCATTTCTGCATATTTCTAACGTCAGCTTGGTTTTTCCATCCATGCCTACGATACAACGGCCAGGGGATATGGGCTTAAAGCTGAGCCGTCACAGAGATGCCCTGGGGGCCTGTGTTGGGGGTCCCATGTGTGGGAGGCCTAGGTTCGGGGTCCTTGCTCTGTGTGGCGCCTCCTGCCCCTCTATACTCCCTAGCTCCCCCCTTTCCTGCGACCCCATGCAGCCGGGAACACAGTGAAGCGTGTTGGAGCGCCATGCGGGCTCTGACACGTCCTACCGCTGTGTACCTTGAATTCCAGTGCCGGCACGGAGCTCCTGCTTCCGCTTATTTTTATCCCGCTGCCCGGAGGCATGTAATGATCACTCACTTATTCCGCAGGAGGCCTCATCCAGGACACGTTACACAAAAGTACCGGAATGAGGAACAGCAATTTGGGCTGGAAGCCGGCAGCGCCGCTAAAAACTCTCATTCTTCTTAGAAAAAGGCTGCAGTTCAACAAGAACTCGATGACCGAGCCTGAATACACGCGAGAAAAGAGGGATGAACCAGCGGCATTAGCCTGTGAATGTCTGGAGAATCTTAGTCGATAAAACTACCCTAGATAATCTAATCCCTGTTAAACAAGGCAAAAAGGAAAATTTAACAACCCAGCTAATAGGTATAAGTGAGTTATGAAGAAAAATAACACATATGATCTACATCTATATATTTCAGTCCAGCCAGATTCTCTCAAGGGGACACACATTATATTCTCACCACTTAACTATATATGTCAGTGAATTCCTCCAGACCAAGTCTGAAATGTTTTAAACAATTATATGGATTATTTTCATCCACTGGATCAAAACATGTGTCAAGCGGACATCGATCTCATCCCTGCCGGAGACCAGAAGGCCTGTAAACCTAGAGACGCATCATATTGGTGGTGAAACACGTGACCGGTGTCAATTCGGTGACTTTGCATGGAGAAGTACAGTGTCTGGCACTAAACCAAGGTCATTGCTATAAACTAAAGCTATAAGAAAACATTTTCATACATTTTAATAAAATAAGATACAAACATAACATAAAAACTACACCTAAACAAAAACTATATATTTATAACCGAAATAAAATAAAAACAAACATGACATACTCCTCCTTACTATTTTTAAATTCTATTTAGTTATCATTTATAATGATTTATTGATTTTGAGGACATTATGACATAATGTGCACTGTGTATTCATGTGGGATTCTCTAAAGACCAGACACATGAAATAACAGCACAACTTTCAGTCTATCCCTATAAATAAAAATACTAAAACCCAAACTGAACCTAAAATATATAAATACTAAATAGAAATATAAATAACTATAAAACTAATAGCAGCTTATAATTAACTACAACTAAACTGAATTTCAATTGAAAGTTGGAAATAATTTAAAATCAAAACCTAAATTAAAATATCAAAACTATGATAACACTGCACTAAGTAGCAGCTCTTCACTAACGGCCAGACAGTCACTGTGTGTTACTGCCTTAACTTACTAAGGTAATTAATACTCAGAAATTTCAGTAAATATATTTGCATGTTTGTTAGTATGTTTAAAATGCATCAGGTATGAGAAATGTGAACAGGACAGTCACACCGCATGCAGAGAGTGACG